GGGGGGAAAGCAGACTCAGAGCTAAAATAACTTGTCAGAGTCAAGACAGATGCCTGGTGATCGCAAGTTCAACCGAGCCAGGCAGTAAGTCCTGGTTTTAAAGCTTTAAAATACTTCGGACTTAAAAATGTAATTTAAAAGATAGCAGTGCATTAGATATTGCTAACTGGAAAATATTCAAGTGTCCTTGGTTGCACTTAATTAAGGACTGGGAAGGGAAATATCACCCCAACTAAGCACAGTATTCTTCTCATGGCAAATTTCCAAATATTACCCAGCAGAATGTTGGGTAATACTAATTATACTGATTGTTTTATGTGATATTACTAAAAAGGCACCTGAATACTCTACATATTTTGCAGAAAACTATTTTAAAGCCACAGCAGTTTAATAAAAGCTCACCATTTGCAGTTCCAGTTAGCGAACAAAATGTGAGGCAGTTAGATGACAAAAAAAAATGGTTTGAGTTCTGCCTTTTAAACAACAGTTTCTAATTTACATGGACTTCTGCTGATCACTAGTGAAACATAAAATGATGCGGTTTGAACTTCACTTTCTCATTGCATTTGGACATAAGCCATTTTTCACAGTGCCAGGAAGGACTTTTTCACCAGCCTGAAAGGCTTCTTAATTCTGAAGCAGTCACACAGCTCAAGAGACTGTGTTCAATGTTATATACTGTACTGGTGAACAAAAACTTTGGTTTAAAATAAGCAGAAAAAAAATGAAGTAGGTAAACCAAGTCACAGCATGCTAAACATCAACAACTTTGGGTTAAATTCCTCTCCTTGTATCTGTTTAAAGCTTCTGTAACTCTGCTGTCTTGCATTTAAATTTGTGTCTAAAACTGTTCATTTAAAGTCTGTGGAGCTATTCCAGATTACTCCAATGAAATTCAGAAGAGAATTATTCCCTCCAGTCAGAGTTCAGGCCATTGTCCTCAGATGCCGTATTACTTCGGTAATTTTTTTTTCATCAGGCTACTGCTTTTTTGAATGACTATCAAATAGCATTTTGAACTAGATCAAGCTGTTAATAAAGCGTTATGCCTTTCCTCTTTCTGTAATAAGCCACTGATTCATCATACAAAGACCTATCATCATTCATCAAAGACCTACTTGCAGCAAACAAAGTCAGAGACAGTCTACAGACAAAAACAGGAAACCCACAATAAAAAACCTGGAGTTATCTTGCTTCCTTTTTACACAGCTAGTCACAAGAAGAAAACTGCATTACTTGCAGCAGTTCGGATCAGAACTAAACCAAAGTTGTCCAGGATAGGGCAGACGTATGTCTACTGCAGGTGTCATAACATGCAGCCATAACTTAACTACTCTTTTCCTAAAGGTTAATTAGTTAATTTACAAAGCCTGGGACCTGTATCCCTGCAAAAGAAGCTTCAAGTGCCCTCTTGCCACAGCTGTCTGAGAGTCTTTTGCTCTAAGTACTGCAAGGTTCTGACTTGCCCACATGTTCTGTTACCTTTTTTTTCCTGCTTTTTAATTCTCTCTGTTTTGTGTTATTTAACCATCCTCTAGAAGAGATACCTGGCTATAACAGAATGGAAGAATCTTAGATCTGTAGTTTATGAGAAAGAGTTCATCAATGTGCAAGAAAATAATAGCAAATCTAAAAATATAAGAAAGAACCATTAAGTGGACAAAGTAAGAATTGGAAAAGATATCCTGAAAAGAACAAAAAGCACTTAATTTTGCACATTTTCACCAGATGCCTACCTTTGAGGAGTCAGTTCTAACTTCTAGCAGCTCAGTATTTTCACTGACATCAGACTTGCAACATTCCAGGGCAGCTGTTCTACACACAATTCAACAAGGAATACACCGAGGACACTGAATAAATACTTCAAAAAGACTATCTAGAAACTAGATCCTGCTCTTATTTTCAACTGTAAATAAGCTGTGTAGACTTGCTTCCTAGAGCATATATCAACATTTCAGTTAAGGCTTGTATAAACACTGTCATCTTGAATCTGCAACCACCTGTGTGTTCACTAAAATGAAATGCCATACTAACATTAGCGCAATGATAGCAGCATGCACAGGACGAAACTTCAAGATACAGTAAAATTAGCAAAGCATGGCACTTCCCTATTTAATTCATACACAGGCATGGATGTACTATAACAGCAAATTGCCCAGTAACTTTTTTCAATTCAGCTGACGGCTACTTGTGGTTTGAAGTGTGCTACAGATGTACTGCTGACAGCTCAAGTTGTCTGTACCCTTCAGTTTAGTTTGCAATTTTCTCTTCACTGCTACACCTCTTGCCAGTATGCTGCATCCATATCTACTCTGCTCCCGTGAAACCCTACCTGAGCACTGTGTTCAGCTCTGGAGTCCTCAGCACAGGAAGGACATGGACCTGTTGGAGCAGGTCCAGAGCAGGACCAAAAAAATGACCAGAGGAATTCAAAACCTCTCCTACAAAGACCAGCTGAGAGAGTTGGGGTTGTTTACAGCCTGGAAAAGAGAAGGCGCTGGGAAGACCTTACTGAAGCCTTTCAATACTTAAAGGGGGTTTAAGAGAAAGATGGGGAAAGACATTTTAGTAGGGCCTGTAATGATAGGACAAGGGGTGATGGTTTTAAATTAAAAGAAGGTAGACTCAAAATAGATATAAGGAAGACATATCTTATCACGAGGGTGGTGAAACACTGGAACAGGTTGCTCACGGACATGGTAGATCCCCATCCCTGTAAACATTCAAGGTCAGGTTGGACGGGCCTCTCAGCAACCTGACCTAGTTGAAGATGTCCCAGCTCATTGCAGGGGGGTTGGACTAGACAGTCTTTAAAGGTCCCTTCCAGCCAAAACTATTCTGACTCTTCCAGACAGGGGAAAAAAAAAAAAAACAAAAAAAAAAAAACAGGCAACAAAAAAAAGCTATGCTACGGATGCCACAATGAAAAATCCTTTTAAGGATTTTTTTTTCTCCCTCCAAAGTACTGTATCTACTTCCTCAAGCTGTTGGAAGAAATGCAATGAGTTAAATATGTTTGGAGGTTATGCACTTCTTGGAAATCCAGCTACAGTTGGTTTGGCTAAGATGTAAATAACAAATTCCACTCTTTTTTTCAGAGCAGTAATCTTACAGTTCCCGTAAATTAACAGATTCTACACGTTCTTCCATGCCCACATAACACTCACAGTCCTGATCAGTAATTCTACAGCAAAACCCTGCGATTTTCTCCAGACTGAACACTGGACTTTTCAATCTGTTAATAAGTCTCTGAACAGGAGTCAGAATTACTTTTTCCACATACCATCCAAAAACCAAACCCTTTTTTTTAATACAGAGGTTAACAAATTTAAAGTGTCCAAAGATAGAAAACAAAAAACCTGGAACTAGCATCATTTAAGCCTAGAAACAGAAAACAACTAATCCCCACAAAGCCCAATTACAATGCAAAAGCACGACTGAATACAATGCTAGAAAGGCAATAAAGTTAAAATGCAAAAAATTCAGTCAAACTGCAAAAAAAATATTAAGAAATCACATGCTCCCAAAGCTGTATCAATCCGAGTGCATTATAAACACACCCGTACAAGGAAACAGCAAAACAAAGGCCAGCCTGGAAGAGATTGGAAAAGTGACATAAGAAGTTAACAGCAGGCAACCTGCAACAGACAAATGTCACCTGGCTTAAAAACTACTACAGCTTAGAAAATAGACTTATCTCCAAAAGCACTGTATAACAGGCCTAGTTTAGCACAGCATTTCACTATGTGTTCAACAGCTAGCACACCCTGGACTGCTTCCCTGGATCAGAACTACAGTGCTCAGCGCTGGAATTCATCAAGCGTGTAACTTTGAAGTTGTATCTTCTTCCAACTCTTGTGCTGCGGAGTATGGTAACTCTTTGAGACAGAAAGCAATTTTAAAAAACTGAAGCAAATAAAGCTTGTCTTTATGGTACATTTGAAGCAATGCTTCTCCCTTCCCTACTTTTTTTCTAAATTTTACAAATAAGATATGATTATAAGATATTTCTGTGTAACACCTTCTGCGTTATCTACTATTGTTTCTAGATATCCCCATTTATCCTTGCAGGTTATCTAGATAAGTATAACCATACTGCACAATTGTCTTGAATTCAGTACCGAAGCATACAAAGACTACGGACATATTCTTAAGAAGCAAGAGTACAGATATCACAAGAGACTTGGCAGTCTTCCAGTAACCACAGAAGGACACAGAATAATTTATGAGGTCACCGAAAGCCAGAAACAGTTTAGTAGCCTCTTGCCAACTTTCTCCTGTTGTATTTTCTTAGGTACTAGATAACAACAACAAATAGGTCACTTTTTTCCTAGGCCTAAACAACTAACAAATACTCCAAAACAGACATAGTACATATTTTGCTGTAAGTGACACACAAAAGATGAGTTCCAGCCAGCTTCAGGTATATGCATGTGTGGGCATACCCGTGTGCCTAAGGCCAAGACCACAGGGGGCTGTCTACTTGGGGGCCAGGGGAGTCCCAGACAGGGAGGGTGGCACAGTGTAGGGCAAGGTGTGTGTATCTCTCTCTCTGCAGTGGAGTGGTGGCCTCAGGGGCTCATATGTCCAGATGCCAGCAATTAGCCACTGGATCCCAGTCTTGCTATCTACTGTGCACACCGACCATCTATGCCCTATTGCTGGAGGGATCCATACTGTACATATCATACATATCTACACGTTGTACATACATTGCCATTAGCATACCTCCATCCCACTCAGACAGAAGGAAGAACAGAACGGGGCCTCTGGCACTCTTTTGTGTTCTTCTGAGTGCTTTGTGTGTCTGCATTATACACATAGAAGCACAGGTATAAGATGTACGCGTGTGCTGCATGGGCACGTACCTACTGGGAATACAGGCACAGTCTTGCCACTTGTTGCACCTGGGATCATGAAGCTGTGGCAACCTTGCCTCCCATGGGCTGCAGAATCCAGACTAATTCCTGTAACAAAATTCAGTAACACTAAGTTTTTACCTGAGAACAATCAGCCTTGGCTATTTCTGTAGTAGTCTGGAGTACATCACGAAGATTGTCTCCATTTTCTTGGATCAGCAGGTAAGCCAGCAGAAGAAAAATGTGGGCAGGGACTTGGGTTGTAACAGGCAGCAATGATCTCACTGACGATAACCAGTTAGTAACTGCAGACTTCTCTTTCATGAGCTCTATGATCTTCCAGGTTGCATACAATGAGTTGTAAGAGCTGGTTATGGGGAAAAACAGTTTGCAGGACACCTGAGAACAAGTCAAACAAACAAACTTCTCAATCAAACAAATAAGGTACCATGAAAGAACAAAAAAAAAAAAAAAAAAAAAGACACCAAACCTCCATAAGTAATCCAGTTCTGTCACCAAAAAACAAAACAAATCTTTTTTTAAGGTCCCAGTACAATAAGTGTAAAGAATAAAGTGAAATATATTAATTTATAATCCTTATAAGAACTCTTGCACGAAGAATGTTTGAATGGGTTGCTAATTTTCTACTTAGGAGGTCCCTCTTTATTTGGCATCCATCATTCCTGTTCCTGCTGGTAACTGCAGAGCTACTTCCTTACTAAAATGGTCACAATAAAACTGGAGTACTTGAAAAGCTTCTGTTCCTGACAATAACAGCTGCATCACAAAAGTTTAAGTACCATCTACATTATTTTAAGGAAATTTTCTTAACTTTTGATACTACTTCATAAAACACCACAGTTTAAGTTAATCTGATGTGACATTTTTTTCTGCTTCAGTTCTCGGAACAAAATGTTCTATAGATGCAGCCATGGAAGATAACATTTAGAATCAGGAAAGTAGTAAAATAAAAGTGAGGACTCCTCGTAATTCAGGTTTTTATATATGTAAAAGTATAAATATTTTAAAACACCTGCAAAATAATGCCGAAGTTCAAAGTTTTTAATTAAAACAAAAAAGCTTAACCCAAGACAAACCATCTCTTTCCTACTAATTCTTTGTTTCCTTGAAAATGCAATATTTTCAGAAGTGTCTTTGCATTATCAAGACAGTAGTTGGCAAGCACTAACTAGATGAAGGACACCTATATAAAAATCAGGTTAAGAAAGTATCTGAAAACATGTCTCCAAATTAACATTAAAAACGGAATTCAGACTCCCAACAGGGCAGGGCCTGCTCACCTTCAAATTACCAGGGAAAAAGAGATTTTGAATGGAAAAAGCTGTTCTACATAAAACTGCAGAATTTCATTTTAATCACACTGTTCAGTACGATGTAAATTGATTTTGGCTAATGGAAGGTAGAATGCCCCTGTATTTCAGATGACCTTTTTAAAATAACATTAAAATAAGCTTATTCCATTACTTATGCATTACAATTAGAAAAAAATCAGCAATCTATAATGCCATCTCTCTGGCCTGCAAGATCACTTAGAGCCAAAAATCTCTTCTGGATACAGCTGTGAAACTGTCATTTATTGATAAAGATATTTATACTTTATCCAAGGACATACAGCGGGCTAAGAGGACCTTCAGGACCTGTAACTTGTATTGTTTAGTTGCCTGCCCCTACAAGATCATAGGACTTGAAATGGAGAGCAGACTATTACAGTCTTTTGGTTTTTAAATGCCTGGAAAAAAATGCTAAAATTGGTGGTGATTATTTTGATATTTCCCATTCCACTTTACTTTCCCAAAGGTTTTGCTACACAATTGTACTCATTCCCTTCTCCCTTTACTTCAACTTCACGAAAGGAAGCTATCGCTATATTTTCACTTCAATGCTGCACCTCAGTCAAGCCGGTTAGGTAGAAAATTTCAGTCTGACAACACTGAAAGATATATATAAAATCCCTCAATGGCAAAGGAGAAGTGCAGGTCAGCCACGTCCTAACATTTTTCAAAACCTTGGGACTACAAGGAGCACAATTCCCCATTACCATTACTGCGAAAAAAAAAAAAAAAAAAGGCCATTGAAGAAAATATAGATTTTGGGTGTGGTTAAAAGAAAAAAAGGAAGCACACCAGCTACAGAAAGGCAGCCACACAATCACTGAGAACTACAGCATCCCTGCTAAGGCATGCAGAAACACGGACAGGAAGGTTAAGGTTCAGCTAGAACTGAAATTGACCAGAGATGTCAAGAAAAAAGGGTTCTTCAGATATGTGACCAAGTAAGCAGAAGCACAGGAAAGACACAGGTCCATTACTAAACAGGGCAAGGAAATTAGTTACTAATAATGCTGACAAGGCAGAGGTTGTCAATACTTTCTTTGCCTCTGTCTCTACTGGCACAGCTGGACCCCAGCTCACAGGATCAAGCAGCTACAACAACACATGTGTCAACCCACCAGTAGTGGCCCTCTGCAAGGGCTCAGCCCACACAAATCAATGGACCCAGAGGAAGTCCACACCAGGGCGTTAACAGAACTGGCTGACATAGTTGCAAGGGTCTATTAAGCCCGAAATATCATGGAGAGCAGGGGACATCCCTGATGGTTGGAAGGGGGCAAACTTCACACCCATCTACAAGAATGGCCCAAAAGAGGACCCAGGAAACTACAGGCCCATTAGCCTTACTTCAGTCCCTGCAAAAGTCGTGGAAGGAGTCTTCCTCGAAACTATTACAAACCAAACGCGGTAGGTGATTGGGAAAATCCAGCATGGATTTACCAAAGGAAAATCATGCCAGACTAAGCAGATGCCCTGCTACAACAAAACAACATCTTCTGTCAACATGGAGAAAGGGGTGCATGTTGCTTACCTGGACTTCAGCAAAGCATTTGACACTGTTGCCCACAGCCTTCTGCTGGACAACGCACCAAGACACAGACTGGATGGGTGGTCTGCGAGATGGGCAGCAAATTGTCTCACAGGCCCTACTCAGAGGGTGATCAATGGTTTCACTCAGGCTGGCAGCCTATCACAAGCAGGGTCCCCCAGGGATCAGTAGTGGGCCCCACAACGTTCAACATCTTCAGAAATTATCTGGATGATGGGACCATCAGCTCCCTTACCAGGTTTGCTGATGTCACTAAACTGGGTGGTGGGGTGGACACATCAGAAAGGAGAGACATCTTCAGAGAGACCTGGACAGGCTGGACGAGCGGCTAGCCAGAACTGTATTAAGTTCAACAAAGACAAGTGCAAAGCCCTGTGCCTGAGACAACATTACCAAAGAGCCTGGCACAAGCTACAGTCCGTGTGGCTGGGGAGCAGCCTTGTGAGAGGGACCTGGGGGTCATGGCGGACAACAAGCTGAACATGAGTCAGCAGTGCGTGACTGCAGCAACCAAGGCAGATTGAATCATGAGCTCCAACCGCAGGGGTTTTACTACCAGAGACAGAGGTGTGATCATCCCACTCTACTCGGCAGTTATCGGGCCACAATCTGGAGTACTGCTCCAGTTCTGGTCCCCACAATTCAAAAAAGATGCAGTCAGACTGGAGAGGGTCCAAAGGAAGGCCATGAAGATAACCAAAGAACTGGACAAACCTGCCTTATAAGTAAGGTCTTCTCAGCCTAGAGAAGAGAAGGCTCAAGGGGGGATGTCACCACAGTTGTCCAGTACTTGAAGAGCAGCTATTAAGAGGACAGAAGCTCTCTCTTCACAAGGAGCCACATGGAGAGGACAAGGGGTAATGGGTACAAGTTGCACTGGGAAAGGTTTTGTTTTGATATAAAAAAGAGATTTTTTACAGTGAGAACTGGACCAAACACTGCAACAGCCTCTCCAGGAACATGGTGGAGTCCCCATTACTGGAGGTTTCAAGATGTGATTGGTCTGGGTGCTAGATAATCTAATCCAGGCTCCCTTTCCCAGGAAAGGCTGGACCAGATCTTTCAAGGTCCCTTCCAACCTGGGATGTTCTGTGATTCTATGAAAATATACCATAACTTAATTATGTTTGCTCTTAAATACTCTTAGTCAAAGCTTGCTCACTCTGGACGTAACACTTGCTTTCTTTTTCCTACCTCTTTTCTTGCACATTTCCAGTGTGAGGAAAGTCTAAGTAAGGAGAAATCATTAAAAATTGTATCCTCTTAGCACTGATCTGATCCTACAACACAGACTGAAACCACGGGAATATTAAACAAGAATTCTACATTCCAGTTGACAACCAAAGGTTATTGGCATACTTTTTACAAACAATAATCAGGCAAAATGAGCCTGCAATTCTCATTGCTAAACAAATATTACCAAAGATATGCAACGCTACTTGCTACAAACGCCACAAGAGTGGAGTTCTGTCTCTATCAGTGAGACAGAAGTGAAGAAGAGTCTGTTAGAGAATTCCCACCAAAAAGCAGTGTCTTTACAGTTTAGCATGGTTACCAGAAAAAGTTGAAGTAATCACAAATTATTTAAGCCCTTAACAGAAAAGCTTTCACTTGCTTTTTGAAGCAAGGAGAATACCAGAATTAGTACAACAAAGTTCTGTTACAGGAAGCCAGTGTTATGGAACGTACTGTAATCTGTGTCCTACAGTAACCCTTTAATGTACCGTAAGACATTAAACTAGCTTTTAAAACACCACAGAAAACAAAACAGATGGGCCAGTGACAAAGAGCATAAAGGACTGAAGTACCTCGAATACCTCTCACTGAAACAAAGCTCCAGTGACATATGCACAGGCTGCCACCTGCAAAGTCCTATTAAGAGGAACTGAGCAGCCTTCTATACTTAAAGCTATCTCACAGACTACTCTTTCTGAGCAGAATAAGGAGTATAGGCTTCAGTGAACTTTATAACATTTATCTTTTAGTAGAAGTATAAATGGGCTTGCCCTTTCAAATTTGTGGAAATGGAAGATGAAGCTGGAGAGGGATTCTAGGACAAACAGGTGGAAGGCAGCTATAAGTAAATAAATAAATACAAAAAAAAGTACAGAAAAAAAGATCCACGATAATGAGCTGAAATTTGACAAGTGACACTTATGTGCTCCGTAACTCTCTTCAGCCAAAGGAGAAAGAATGGTAGCTAACAGTCACATACAATCATAAGGAAAAGGATATAGATTAGTAGAATAAGCAAATCTGAAAGAGACAAAGCCGACATAACCTTGTTTTCTGCTAAGTCCTGTTACTTCATTAATAATGCAGGTGAATTCTTTAATCTAAAAGTCAAAAAAAAACTCAAAAAAAATTCTCTAAAAGTAAAAAAATCCCATCTCCTAAGTAAAACAATATCTAGCATACAAACACACTTCCACTTTTACCAGTAGTCTAGTTTTATGCACTATACATATTTTTGAGTGTTTCCATACAATATGTTGCTCAAAGAAGCTGTAGAAGCATGTAGAGTCCCAAGCAGCTAGGCATAATATAGCAACATTGTTAAATGCATCCCCTACCTGCCCCAAAAGAAGGAAAAAAAAAAAGACTTAAAACTTTACCAATTCCTTTTTATCCTTCACACCTTTCTCCTGTAATATTCCCAAAACATTTACAGCCAGCTGCTGCCTGGTAGTCCCAGAATCATCCTCTGACAGGCAGTCCCCAACTGTTGTAGAAGATAAGACCTGTAGCACTGGCATCACCAAAGTAAGGGCTGTGCTTGGGATGTTCTGGGTTTCTGAACAGGAAAGGAGCTTGTAGGCTATTTAAGACAAGGTGGGGAAAAACAAAGATCAGGTAGGGAAAAAAGAACTAACACCATTTGTACTTTCAAGCATGACACAAACATTTCTAGGAGACACTCTAGTCAAGCAAAGTAACAGGCCCCAGAATGACAGTATGTGCATACCAAAGTGCAGAAGATTGTTTTCGTTAAATCTCCAATTCAATTTAGAGACCCATACATTTCTTTTGTTTATAGCAAAGTACCTGATGGCAGCAAGAAATACAACAATGGAATATAGCACAGTCTCCCACTTTTACTGGAATGCCTCCACTACTCAAAACTGCTAAGTCAAAAGCTCAGCCAAACATTGTCGTAACTGTCAAGCCTGCTCTCCTTAATATCTGTCAAAATAAAGTGTTGACGATGCATGAGTCTCAGCTGAGAATATCGTGCTGTTGACTCAAAAATTAAACAGATAAGCTTAAATACAGCAGGGAGCTTAGAATACAGTAACATCCATGGAAAAAGTCAGTGTAGCAGGAAAATTTATTTTTACTGCCATTAGATCAAATATTACTTTTTAAAATGAGGAAAAATCCTGTTTATAAAAAAAATCACATTTCATGACCTAATCCAACTTCAGGGGAATGCTATGATTACTTTCATAAACATGAAGAAACAAAGACACAGTCTTAAGAGTGTGGATTCTTCATTGTCAAGAAGAGCTTTACCTAGACTCAAGACAGACTTTTGCTGACTTTCTGGTGTTTGCAGCAACAGTAGCGCTAGCCCAATTATACACTGTTCCACTGGAAATACCTACAAAGAAAAAAAGAAAGAGGTTCAAGTCTTCTTTGTTTTTTGGTGGCATTAAGCAGCATGGGCAACTGTAATGGGCAGTAATGGGCAACAACCAAAACCTCTGTCAGGAATCTCTTCACTAATCATAGTGAGTGCACGCACAGTGGCACAGCACATGCAATGAAGAATCTGAAGAGTGTAAAAATAGTATTTTAACTAAATGATGACAACATTTTACCAAATTTGTTACTTTGTTCAAACCATTTTAGATCAGTTTAAACCAACTCTGATACTAAAAGGTTAATTGATATATACAGAATCAGTTAGGTTTTTGTCTTCTGAATGTATTTAATCATGAAAAAAAACTAAAAGCTTTTGAAACAACACTGGTCACTTGGAGATGAATGCCATGTATTCTCAACACTGTCTTAAACATGACATCCTTTAAATTTAATACAAATATTTAATTTTTTTCCGTATGAACTCTTACCTCTTTTAAGACCTCAAAGTTGTCCTCTATTAAGGAGATCAAAGATGAGCATTCTCCCATTACATTTAAATACACTTCACAGAAGCATAACAGTTGCAGACAGAACTGGGATAACTGAACTTTCCAGAACACAGGATTCCGCAGTAGGCTGAGGAATAGCTCTTGCAGAAAAAACGAGGCTTCTGTAACTTGCAGTAAGTCCTTAAGCTGTAGAGAGGTAGTTAACAAAACAAAACCAAGACACATTCCAGTTTAGTCCTCCTTTCCCATCTGTGAAGAATTCCTCAAGTTTAGAATTAGTTTTACTAGCTCTGCAATGTTTCCGTTGCAAATATTACTAAGACTGTGAAGAAACACATTTATAAACTAAACCAAGGCGTCTCTTATCCAACCTACCTGAAAAAAAAGTAAAATAGATGAACTGCTATTTAATATTTTGAAGTAAAATTAGAAACATGTGAAAGAATAAAAAGATATCTTGGTAGCTGACAAGAAAAATCCCTTTTTCCTCAAGAGCAATGGCAAATTAATTCAGTTCTCGGGGCCCTCTCAGCGACTTAAAACAAATTGTGTGAGGCTTTAATATAACAGGTAAATATTCTTGTAATGGAAACGTCCTGCTCTAGGATATTTCCTCTGTAATGTAACCAAGATTCTAATCTATGTCTCAGAAGAGAAAGAAGGTGGTGTTATTTGCTTCTAGAGCACCATGTAATCTAACTACTACAAAAATGAAAAGCTGAAGTGCAATACTCAAAAGCAGTATCTCCATTCTTGGAAGCTAAGTAAAGAGGTTTCCAGAAGCAGAGTGCCTGAAAATCCTAATGCGTTAGATGACAGCATTTCTGCTCTTGAAAATTCTAGTTCCTGACAAAACCCAGCTGTTCCGATCCAAACTCTGGAGACAGCATTAAGGATAACATCCTGATTTTTAGTCCCTTGGAACAAATTCTGTGAATAAACTCCTCTAATCAGAAGACTCATGTCCACTGATTTTTTCAGCAGAAAGGTCTGCAGGTGACAAGCTGTACTTAATGACAGCTTGGTTGGTACTGTGAGACAAAATGACTAGGAAGCATTTCATCATTTATACAATACAGAGGATTAAATAAGGCTAAGCTTGAAGGAAGGATAAAAAGAACCTGAGGTTCAGAGAAAGAAGGAGAAGGAATGACAGCTTACAAAATAGTCCATCAAACAGGCTTCTTGAAGGAAGTATTTCCCTTTCCATTGTTAAAGTTGTATCTCAGGCAAAACAAAAACATTCAAGTATTAATCTGAGTCTAAAAAATGCAACAGATTTCTAGTTAAAAAAAAAAAAAAAGTGCCACAAGCACAGAGGAAAGAAAGGTTCATAACTGATTTTATACATCTTCTTCAGTGCCATTTTTGCATCTAATTGTTACCAAGTCAGAAGCTTGGTCATATATTCAGGACACAGTGTCATACTGAAGTTCAGGTACAATCAAGAAAAAATGAGAAATGGCCCCATGACTAGGAAAAGTCAGCATATACCTGTCATCACAAAGAGCAGACCGGAACCAAGATAAATGTGCATAATACAAATGATTATTCCTCCAAAATATTGTGAAAAGTAGCTACTGGTAGAAAGTATATTTTACTAGTAAAATTCCTCAGGAGGAAGATGCTATCAAATATCCTCATAACAACCATATGTAGCTTTACATCGTCAATATTATCAAAGCCCCTTTCAATGGCAATAATACCATAGCACTTCATGTTGACTGAATATATTTGAAACTGAAGATGTTGCTCTAATATTAAAGAGGAAGGGTACATAAGTACAAAAAAGCTTAACCAAAAGCAAAGCAGAGTTATTGACCTAAACGAACACCCTTGACTCCTAACCAAAGGGGACAGAAAGATTAAATCCCTAGCTCCTAGTAAGTATCACGGTGCAACTTAAAGACACATTCAAAAACTTCAGCACATTCCAGAGGGAATAAGTTTTTGTCTTCAGAGCCACTAATCCCTCTGTTACAAAGAGCGAGAAAGGAATATATAGGAATACTTAAATAATGCTTCTCATATACTTTGTTTCATGTTAATATTATCCATGTTAAATTAAAAATTGCATGTTTTTGACAAATATCTTACCATTAAACAACATTGTTTCTCTCATGGGTATCTCCACAAGTTTACTGCATGTTTACTGAGGCAACAAGTGGCAAATAATTATGGTAAACATGTGTTTAAATTTACACCTCACCAGGTGTATCTGATTTAAACAATTAAAAAGTTTTACCTTCTAGCAGAAAGGGACTGTTTAGCTTCACCAAAGGCAGACCTTGCCTGACCAATCTGGTAGCCTTCTACGATGGAGTGACAGCATCAGTGGACAAAGGAAGAGCAATGGATGTAATCTACCTGGACTTGTGCAAAACCTTTCACAGGGTCCCTCACCCGTCAATCATTCTCTCTAAATTGGAGAGGTATGGATTTGAACTATGGAGTGTTCAATGGATAAAGAATTGGTTGGCTGGTTGCAGCCAAAGGGTTGTGGTCAATGGCTCTATGTCTGGGTGGAGGCCAGTCACAAATGGTCTTGGGACTGGTGCTCTTCAATACCTTTATCAATGATATAGATGAGGGAATCGAGTGCACCCTCACCAAGTTTGCAGATGACACCAAGCTGAGAGGTACCGTCGATACAATAGAGGGAAGGGATGCAGTCCAGAGGGACCTGGACAGGCTGCAGAAGTGGGGCCACAAGAACCTAATGAGGTTCAACAAGGCCAAATGCAATGTGCTGCACTGAGGCTGGGGCAATCCCAGGTATTTATATAGACTGGGAGAAGAACTCCTTGAGAGCAGCCCTGTGGAGGACTTGGGGGTCCTGGTGGACGAGAAGCTGGAACCGAGCCAGCAGTGTGTGCTTGCAGCCTGGAAGGCCAACTATGTCCTGGGCTGCGTATGGCCTGCAGGGAGAGCAAGATGATTGTCCCCCTCTACTCTGCTCTTGTGAGGCCCCGTCTGGGGCACTGTGTCACGGCCTGGGGTCCCCAGCACAAGAAAGACGTGGAGCTCTTGGAACGAGTCCAGAGGAGGGCCACAAAGATGATCAGAGGGCTGGAGCACCTCTCCTATGAAGAAAGGTTGAGGGAACTGGGCTTGTTTAGCTTGGAGAAGAGAAGACTCCGGGGAGACCTCATTGTGGCCTTCCAGTATTTGAAAGGAGCCTATAAACAGGAGGGGGTCGACTATTTACAAGGGTTGATAGTGAGAGGATGAGGGGGAATGGTTTTAAACTAAGAGAGGGGAGATTTAGGTTGAATATTAGGCAGAAATTTTTCACTGTGAGGGTGCTGAAGCACTAGGACAGGTTGCCCATAGAAGCTGTGGATGCCCCATCCCTGGAGGTGTTCAAGGCCAGGCTGGATGGGGCCCTGGGCAGCCTGCTCTAGTGGTTGGCAACCCTGCCCACAGCAGGGGGGTTGAAACTAGATGATCTTTAAGGGCCTTTTCAACCCAGGCCATTCTATGATTCTATAATTAGATTTCTGTACTACCAACAAATCAGGTCTACAGGAAATGGAATAGAACGCTATATTTGCACACTTGAAAGGCAGAACTGTCATTGCTTTGATAGAATTTATTTGTAAAAGGTGGTGTCAGGCAACAACCGTACCTGAAGGTGTGGAAGCAAATCGCATAGAAGTTGAAGAATCTCACATTCCAGCACAGAGGGTGCTTCTTTGTGTTTTGGACCATGAGGCTGAAGTAAGACCTTCAGTAAAGTAATTCGCAGTTCAGCATATTCCCGTAATTGAGATGGTTCACAATACAGGTATCTTAAAAATGGAGCCATTATGCCAACACATGAACTCTGTGCCCTGCAGTTCAAGAAACAAGTTTGCCAAGACTGCTTTCTCCTGAAAACTTAACAAATTATAAGGAAAACTCAAGCAATGTGACATTCCCTGCAATAATTTACAGGATGCAATTATCAGAAAGGTGTTATGAAAGGTATTACTAAATCTCACAAAAAAACCTTGGACTTACTAGCACACAGTACTGTCATGAGACATTATACAGCAACATATACAAAGAAGTGCAATTGTGAAAAGACTCAATATTTAAGAACGAATACTACTCAATATGTACTTGCAGATAATGACACTCTTAATTATATTTTTTTCTCATCCATCCAAGAAAGTGACTTTCCTTGACGAATGTCAGGCATATTTAGTGAGAGACTAGTGTGCCATTCTGAAGTAGCATTTGGACAAGACTATTTGGAAATATTTTTTTTAAACATATAAATCCTAATTTAAATTCAAAAGAGCCATTCCTTCCTTGGCAGTTTTTGCCCAGCAGTCTTAAACAATTACATGAGACAGGAACTGCTTTGACCAAGATGGCTTCCCAGTAAACAATTTATCACAGAACAGTTCTTTTGGCTTGACCGTGTTAGGAATACCAGCTATTCCTGACACCAATAAAACAATCAAATAAAGCTAATGATCAATACATTAACAAATATACATGGAATCAAAATTAAAAGTCAGTTTTAAACATGACTCAGCCCTGATGCAGAGCTTTATAAAGAACTCAGTAATAGATCTACATCAACATACGTAGTGGTTGTTGACATTGCACTTACAAACATGGTTTAGCAGTGGACTTGGTAGCATTAAGTTAACAGCTGGACTTGATGTTCTTAAGGGTCTTTTCCAACCTTTCTCATCCCACCATTTTGTACAGATGAGTTATACCAATATAATAGTAATCTTTTTTGACTAAGCAGTCAAAATCTTGACAAAATAATCAGAATTGCTTATTAAAAAAATATAAAGGTGCTATCAATTTTCCACAAATTTTTTCCACATCTGTAAAATTATATCAACATAAAAGAGTTAACAAAAAACCTATAAAACCAGATTTTGATGGATTATTCTACTATTTTATTAATATTCTATTTTTAGCCTTTAAATTGTATAATTAAATTTTACAATTACCTTTTTACAAAGACAGAATTCTTACTGCTCATTGCAGCTGCGTTCAAGAAAAAAAGTTACATTGATATGATTCCATTATCTACATTTGCTATTTTTTCATTATTCATTCATTTACCTCTCCGGACATTGACGGAAAAATACTGTTATCTGCTGCAGTAGAACTGGCCAGGAATCAGGTCTGTTTTCAAGGACAGTGATTAATGGATGAGGAGTGTTCCTGAAACACAAAGAAATAACATTTAGATCTATAATGCAGAAAGTGAGTGTGCAAAATAACTGTCTTCAAAATAAAAGCAGCCGTGGAAATAGACAATTTAACCCCCTGGTATTACCAACTCCCTTTACCAGCTTTGCTAACACTGCTACGCTGTCAAAAGAGCACATTTTATAGGAACTTCAGGGAACAGGACTAAAATAAAATCTCTGTTTGAAAAGTCTTGGTCTAATTTTTCTTTTCTTTTCTTTTTCTTAAATAAATGTCTAAAGGATCCGTGTTCAAGCATGTGACCTAATTTGAGTCACTGGTAGCAGTACTACGCTCTAGCAGTGGGCTCCAAGTAATACCCATAGAAAAATTTGAACCACGTCACACATCAGTCCAGTCTTTCAAGCCTAGGTACAAATCTTCAGCACCTGAGACCAGTCGAGGTGACCATCATTCCACTTACTACTTTTAATCTGCTCACAACTTATTTATTTACTTTTCCTGGTTTTTAGGTAGTGAAAGAAGCAGGAAAGGAGAAAGGCTGGCCATACCACTAGCCTAGAGACCTCCACTTTACTGCCAGGCCTCTGACAATGGTTGCATTTGAAAAGGTCACCGAGGCCTAGTAGTCACCCGTTCTTCTCAGATGAATCTATCACCAACACCTTCCCCACCTCCAAAGTCAATGGCTGAAGGCCAACTACACCACCTAGAAGCGCAGCACTTGCATCAAACAGTGACCACTCTTGTGCAGTAGCAGGTAGATGAAAAGCTGGGCAGTAGGGAAGTCCAAAGTATATACAATTTGTTCCGTCAGGAGGAAAACCAAAGTCCTCTGACTAGACTAAGTTAACACAAGAAAGGAAAACAGAGTCTGAACAATAAATTACCTGGAGAGGTGGGAAATTGGAAAGAACTGGTGATGTGAAGGCAGTTTCATCACTACCTCCATTGCCTCCTTCTGGAGTTTACCCACTGTCTGTGCCGTGAGTGGCCCCCTTATTCCCACCTGCCAAGTGTCCTTATTTCCCCCAGTTTTCTTTCCTGCTTCAGCCAACTACAACCAGAGCAGTGTAGATTCTTCTCTGGAATACCAACAGCTTAACGGCAGACAGGCAGATACTTTCCTGCTCCCAGAGCAGAAATAACTTTCCTAATAGCAAGAGATAAAAGTTGGAAGGGTCTTGCTGATTCCCACAGATCTGCTAGACACACGTGAGAGAGCTGGGCAATACAAATAAACGTAAAGGCAACAAATGCATGCACACCACGCAAGGCTGGCAGCCACAGAGAGGGGCTGTATAAATCTGACCACGACCTTTGGTTTGGTTAACCATTCTGTTCATATGTCCAACAAATCTATGCTACACACCAGAGAGACTTTGAGCCAGTTCTACCTATACAGCACAAGATGATCTGAGACCCACCAACTGAACTGGTACACCTCAAGAGAGACTGCCTCAGTTTCAGCAGCCACTTACCATGCCTTTTAAATAAAATAGTGAGAAAGAATTAAAACTAAACCAGGGAGAAGGACAGCACTCACACCCACAACACACATACACACCTCTAACATAACATCAACGCTCCTTGCACATTTTTACAAGCCAACTGACTTTCACGCATGTGAGCTGTTAGTTAGTCTTGATATACTGCTAATTTTACTGCAGTGAGTGACATAGTCAAATAAGCTTTTCGGAAAGGATTTATAATGGTATTTGGTTTGTCTGCACTGGTGTTTTAAAAACCTGTAAAGAGCAGAAAGCCCAAGATCTGAATCAGTGTTTTTATTACAGAAGACAACATTCATTGAGACACACTCGTATTCAATAGCATTGTGCTACAACACAGGCTTCATCTTGAACAGCACCAAACGCAACTCCAAGGGAAGGAAACGAGATCCTCAAGAATTCCATAAAAGAATGAAAAAAATTTTTTCCCCTTACTTACCAAATTTTAATTGCATAACACGATGGTGTATTAAGGCTTCTCTTAAGTGAGCTAAAGAGGTAATACTTAACTGCTATAAACAGGAATGTTTAGAGTCATGCTATGCCTACTAAGATACTAGTTCCAAAAAAATACCATCTAGCAGACATATCCTTAAACTAAAAGAAGTTCTCCTTACTATGTTATTTTTACATTCTCGATGTTAACATTGTTTGAATTCTGGGCAAGTGACTAGTTTTGAGGAAAATCAGAATAGCTGAATGAAAAGCCCACCAAGTTACGAAAGCTGGTTACTAAATATTTTACATATTTAATGCGTCTTGTTCTCTTGGCAACATGGTCAGAATAGAGCTAACAAACAAAAACTTCAAATATTTACTTCAATAGAAGATAAGAGTCAGATATGACATCACGTCCCACTGAACTCTGCAGCTGTGTAGCTCAGGAAACAGCAATTAACTGCTGTGTCCTTTACATGCTATAAAACAATAAGAATTCTGAGATACCTGAAGAGATAAAACGTTTTGGTCAACTGCTTCTCTTCAAAAACTTCAAACTAATTTGGATTTTAGGGTGGGATAATGTAGGAAATTTACTCTGACTGTGAAAACACTCATTGCCATGGAAGGATATTCACAAAACAAGAAGCATTGTTACTATGCTTTCAGGGATCAAGGAAAAGCTTTTATTTATTGGGAGAGATTTAATTGCAGTGCTTAGGACATCAGCATAGAGGCTGCTGCTCTAAATCAAGAGAATATTTAGAATATAGCTTGGCAGCAAGAAGGTTAAACCAGATCTACGTAACTTCTGCTTAACATGAAGACAACTGTGTCTTTAAGAAAACAGCAGAAATCCACAGGAATGAAACAAAGTAAAAGAAAAAAAACTGCTGGTAAGATACCTCCAGGTACAGACACATTAGAGCCTGTGCACTACCAAGATTCAGAAGTAAGACCACAAATCTATCTTCAAAATCTATTTGCCATGTTCATGTTCAAATAACACTAATTTCACATACCATGCCAGGGCCTTGGAAGTTCATAGTCCTCTATAGAAATACAGAGTTATAGCAGCTTCGTACAGAGTTATAGCAGCTTCTTATTTCAATACCTGTCATATTTTAAGAATTAATTACCTTTCCTACTGAGAATATGTCTCCAGTCATCTAAGTGCTGCTATGACACTGAAGCCAGTGGAACTTTCACAAAGTCAGCACATTGACACATCAAGTCTAAAAGTAAAACTGCCTACTATCCAGAAAAAAACCTAAGCCTTCTATGACAGATTTTGTGTGTTCTGAAATGAATATAAGTGCACTGAACCAGATGATGAAAGAAATTGGATAAGGTCCATCGTAAACAGCCATTAAAAATGAAACACCAAAATGTGCAGCCCAAAAAAGTTCCATTTGATAATGCTATTAGGGGTAGGAAAAATTAGGTGTCTAGATGTAATTTATCATCAATACTAAGATAAGAATTGCTAGCTTAGCACTGTAAAACACACATCTTTAAATTACATTACAGTACTACTATCCTAAATTATTGCCAGTGGGTTCACGATAAAGCAAAACGCACAACCAGACACAGCAGCTATCCACCTGTAAATAGGGAAACAAAGATAAATCTTATGTGAGGGGCAACAATAAAACAAAACTTATTTTTAACTTTTAGGTCATCTCAATGTTTTTGAGAGCTCCAAACTGATTTAGAGCACAAATTCAGTGACAGATTGCTTTTTCTGTATGAAGAAACAACGTCTACAGTCAACATACCCTTCTGCGTATGCAGCTGTGACTCTGTCCCTTTCAGAAAGATGGAATAGCACTTTACTCACCTGAATGTGTTTTTAAAGCATTTTTCTATCTGCACTGAATTTTGATTTCAGAAAGTTGGCAGCTCTCCAGAATTTTAAGACTATAAAAACCACGCATGGTGAGCCATTAAGAATAATGTAAAATACTACTTCATTAAAAAAAGTTAACAGCTTTCAGCAAAAAAATTATAGCCAAAGTGCTGTATGTGCAGGTCATAACCCAACTACACGGAGAAAGCCAACAAGTGTACCTCAAAAACTCCTCTTCCCTGCCCTCCCACTCCATTCAGCTTGAGCTTAAGTTACTGGAAAGCTATATTGATCTGCATAGTAAACAGACAACTTTATGCCATACAAGACATAGTAAATCCACTGGGAACTCTCAGTTCTAGTTCACAGTGAGACTGACTTGCAGACTGCTTCTGTCTGTGCTACAGCTGATCTTAACTTTATAACAAAAAGTGCAGATCATCCCGTGTGTGAATCTAAAAATCACATAACTTTTTCCACACATCCTTAAAAACCCCAGCATATTTTAGTATTTATCCACCTCTGGAATACTGTTATCAAAAAAAAAACCAAACCAGTGGTCCTTACATGGCTTATGGAAACAATTAGGAATCACAAAATTCCATTATATATGAGGCAATTTTCTACTGACTTATTAGGGTAAAAGGAACATTTCCCACCTTCTCTAGGAACAGAGGTAATCCCTTCTCTATTGCCCAAGGCTAATTTGCTTACAGAAAGTGGAGAATCCCAGCATTAAAACTACAGAGGCTTTCCCAGATGAAATCAGAAAACCTATGTGGTGAGTTGGCCTTGGCTGGCCATCAGGTTCCCACCAAGCCACTCTCCCACTCCCCCTCCTCAGCAAAACAGTGAGAAAATGAGATTAAAAGCTTGTGGGCTGAGAGAAAGGTAGTTTAATAAAGAAAACCAAAGGTCATACACGAAAGCAAAGGAAATAAAAAATATTTATTCTCTACTTCCCATCAGCAGGCGATGTCCAGCCACTTCCTGGGAAGTCAGGCTTCAGTATGTGTGGTGGTTTCTCCAGAAGCCAAACACCTTAATAATCAATCCTCCGTGCACCCCCAATTTCCTTTCACTTAGTTTTTATTGCTGAGCACAGTGTCATATGGTATGAAATATCCCTTTGGTCAGTTCAAGTTAGCTGTTCTGGCTACGTTCCCTCCTGAAGTCCTGCTCACCTCCACCTTACTGGTCTTTGAAAGGGTGGGACTGGGCTGGAAGCAGCACTGCTCAGTAGGAACCAAAACATGGGTGTGTTATCAACACCATTCTAGCTGCAAATATAAAACACAGCACTATGATGGCTGCTATGGGGAAAGCTAACCCCATCCCAGACAGACCCAATAAAACATAACCAGACAAAACCCCCAAAACCGCATGTCCTGGGTTAAGCTGAGACAGAGTTAACTTTCTTCATAATAGCAAGAGGCTGTGTTTTGGATTTGTGCTCAGAAGAAAGATGATAAAAAGTGATGTCTACGCAGCTGCCAAGGTCTTTCAGCGTCTCTGGCTGTCCGCAAAGAGGAGAAGCTGGGAGGGAGCACAGCCCCAGTTACTAGCCCAGGATTTGATTTTAGGTTTGGGATTGAGACCCAAGGTGGTCAATAATCTATTCCATAATGTACACGTCATGCCCAGTATATAGGTGAGGACCCTCTGGAAGATCGGCCCTTTTGGTTCCGGATCTCTTTTGCTCCGGGTCATCTCGCTCCAGGTGGTTGCTCTCCCAACCCCCCCTACCCCGGGCAGCTCTTGCTCTGGGAGGCTCGGACTGTTATCTCTGTTCTGTGAGTGCAGTTTTGGGACTCTCCTTCTACGGGATCATTAGCCGGGAACAGGCTGAGCCTTAGTCATCAGGAAGGGGGGCAGTATCACTGTGTATCGCTCATTTGTATATAGTTATTATTTTCAATATTATTGTAGTTTAGTTATTAAATCGTTCTTATCTCAGCCCATGAGTCCTTTTCTCCCTTTACCCCTTTAATTCTCTCCCCTGTCCTCGGGGGGGTTTGGGGTCATAACTGAGCAAGCGGGTGTGTATGGGTTGGCCCAGACATTATTTTCTCCCATTTCTTTTCAGGAATTGTTTACATCATAAAGTAGTAGTATTATAAAAGTAATTCTGTTGTCCTAAGTTACCATTGGTCCAAACCAAACTTATTTATTACACTGAAATACTCGTTTTAAAATGTCCCAAGAGAAATGACAATAGTAAACTACTTGAGAACATACTGGTGCTTTTAAACTACTTGAGAACATACTGATGGTTTTTGACTCTTCATTGATTATTTCTGTACAGAATACTTTTGTGTAATATATGAACACCATAACAGGAGGTTACTGTTGGTGAGTTATTGCATATATTATTTTTATTTATTTCAGAAATCAAGTTTCAATGTACTTAATAGAACACAACTACAAAAATTGTTACGTAACTTGTCACTGAATAAAGACAGGCCCTTCTGTACACTAGAAACCAAAAGCCACATCTCAAATTCACAGGGCCTTGACCTACCAGATCTTCAAAACTAAGTCAAACTACTGACATTTCTTCATTAAAGTTAACTGGAAGCAAAAGGAAAAACAACAAACTTATCCAATAAGTATAAACTTGCTGCTTATTTTCAGTTCTCCATTACTTTAAGTTACTTTAAAACATTCTGAATTACCAATTTCCACCTTCCTTGTATGTTTATGTTAACAGCATTTTTTCTTGGGGGGGTGGAGGGAGTAAGAATCTTTCTTCACCCTACTGGGGAGAGGCTATTACTTTAATTCAGCTACATCCCACCACCCTCTTTTTCACATGCACCCTGCATTAAGTGCTTTAACTTATCCTCTTCTGCCAGGAGACTTTAATTAGTTTATTTACTACTAAACAGAAAGTTTCCTAAAGAGTTCCATCTTACTACTTTCCATTACCTGCCTCTTCAATTAAAACTGTTCTGTAAGAGTGTGGACTTTCTGCAAAGAACTGACATAGCTAGAAAAACAAGTGCACTCAGAATTTTAGGAATGCAAGTGCATCCAACACTCCAAAGTCTGTTTCACTTTTCTTCACTGTTTCATTTTGCTTAAGTAAAGACATGATTCCCACCTTCCAAACAGTGCCTTTTATATCCTTAAAGCATTATAGCTACAGCCTGTTACAATGATACATAATAATTGCATAAAAGGCAACTTGAAAAGTGGTCATGACATCTACCAAACTGGGACCTTCTCCAGAAAAGGTACAACAGTGGCTGTTAATTTGACTCATGATCTGACTCATGGTTTCTCAAGAGCTGGATGAAGTCACTAAGATGTTCCCCTAGGAAGGATGCTATTGCCCGACAAGCAGCTTTATATGAATAGCTCTGGATGCATCTTTAAATAACTTATTTTTACAAGGAAAACACTTTAACAGTAGAAGCATTCAGGAACTTTACTTTAATAATAGGAATAAAGCAGAAAAATCAAATGAGAGGGAAGTGGTCCACAGTCTTAAAATAAAACTTACTAAAAGGGCTATTAGCAATTATCCAGCTACCATATTTGAACAAGTCACAGTATTTATTTGTTCTTTCTCACCCACAGTCTTCAGGTTACCATTGCCACCATGAGCTCAAAAGCATCGATCTTATCCCTTTACTGTAAAATTCCTTATAACTTTCAACCAAAAAAAAAAAAAAAAATCACAGAATCAGAGAATTGTTTTGCTTGGAAGGGACCTCTTCAGATCATCTAGTCCAACCCGTATGCTCAAGCAGTCAGCTATTGAAGGTAACCCAAGATTACATGGAGTCAAGTTTTACTATCTCTGAGGACAAAGGTTCCACAACCCCTCTGGGCAACCTGTGCCACTGCTTGAATACCTGCACAGTCAAAAAAAAAAAAAAGACACAAAATGGACAGACTGAAAGCCAGTCTCAACACTTGATCTATGTTTCTTCTGGAAATCAGACAAAAAGTTATGATAGTGTCTGAATAAAAGGGGTGTGAAACTAACCTGATTCCATACAAACTCTGAGCAGTTTCATTTCCATCTTTTCCCAGTTGAATAGCTTGAATTTGTAGTAATTTCCAAATAGTTTTTATCAAACCATGCACATTCCTGTTGAGAAAAAGAAATACATTATTGTCACATATGTAGTTACATTAGTTGATTCTTCCTTAAGAGGAAGAACCTAGGCACAAAATTGACACTCAAGAAGCCTTGAGTTCTTAAGGACTTCCTCACACCTGCCTACACCATTTTGGGCAAGCTATGTGTCCATGTGTATGTGTTTTCCTTTTTACATAACAAGCAAAACAGCAGAGAGAATAATTAATGCATTAATTAAAACTTTTGATGGTTTGCTTCTACTATATCTTACAAGTACATTCATTGTCCCCAGCTTAATTGAAACCAATGCTTTTTATATGTTAATAACGGAAAATTAGCTCTTCTCTGAATACAAGTATATAGGTAAACATCCAGCATGGTCCACAAATTTCAACCATGCCACTGTCTAGCAAGGGAAAGCAAGAGAAATCACATTGTCAGAAAAGACACTTGAGACACCTAATTTGTGCCAGCTTTTGATCTTAGGAGCCCAGGACTACACAAAATAGATATATACAGCTATTTTATCTCCCTCTTCCTATCTTGCTTTATTCACCATTCAGGAAAATTCAAGAAACAACAGTATTTCTGGAATTTTTATATGATTTTCCATATTCTCCTGGAGAGACACTAATGAAAATAACAAAGCCCACCACAAGGGGGAAAAAAAGCTCTGTGATCACGCAGTGAAGAGGTCAAGAATTCTACAGCTTCTTACTGCTTGGATGAGCTTACAAGCACAACTTTCCAAATTTTGCTCTCCTTTTCATAATTAAGTGCCTTCCACACCTTTGCAACCTTTCCATACCCTTCCAACCCAACTATGCCAGATGCAACTCAATTCCTTCTCAAGGAAATAGCCTGGATTCTACAATGAAACCCTCTTTCACAAGGTGAAAATGAAGAAGCAGAGGAAAAAAAAGTAATGGTTGATTCTTTTAATTTTCATCTAGAACATGCTACACAACTGCCCCATCATCCCCTAAAAATCTACTAGATAGTTTACTGCTCACATTAATAAGCCATAATTACCCCTCCCTTTATTCACATAATGAACCGGAAGAGCTAAAACACAATATAATTATAAGAGATCATCAACTGACAAAGTTACTTCTATCACACGGGGCAAGATAAGGAAGGAAAGAGAGAATTGGCTCCTGGGAATTCATTTTTCTGTTTTATTGCTCCCCCTTCTTCCCTTCCTAGGAGGAAAAAAAAAATCTGAGAAATCTATTTTATCTCTAATTCTACTTCCCCATTAGTGAATGGAAAACTGCAGGAACTCCTCAGGTGGTGAGCTGGAAATTACGCAGAATTTATGTAACCCTCTCATAGGACAAACAAATCATCATCCTGATTTAAAACATGAGGAAACTGAGACAAGGTAATATTAGTAGTTTGGCATAGAGTACACTATGCTCCACAAACACCTTCCTAAATTATGAATGGATATATAGACATTTAAACTTTTAAGGTATAACAAAAAGTCTTGACAAATTTATATCAAAGGACAGGGAGACTTTACATGAACACTATTAAAAGACGAGTTTACTTACACACAGGCTGGAACAGCATCAGCCCAATAACGTGGTAACAATACGTAACCATAAAGAAATATCAAGTCATGATATTTACAAACACTGTACTGAACATTCAAAAATAACAAAGACAAAAGATTGTAGGATTATAGAATCATACCCTAAAACATGCCCACATAATTCACAAAAGAAAATAGAAAACACAGACCATCACCACTTTTAACTACCAGACCTCTGCTACACTTATCACCAGGCTCTTTTCCATAAGCTGGTATGGCACACCAGGGAACGTCTATAGATTCCCACATTGGATCTCCCCATAAAGAGCTGCTTAGTTTTGCATTCCAGATATAGGGAAACTAGTATATTCTCTCTTCTGTGCCTTTCATACTTCTGACAACAGTGCTGGAAAACACTGACCCAGATCAAAACTGACAGAGTATGCTTCCGTTTTCTTTCTTCCAAAAATGGGCCAGTTATAAGATGTGCCTGTAATCTTTAAAATGACTGGCCGCTATGACACCTGGCTCTTGAAACATTGAAATCTGACTGTACAGGAAAACATGAGGTTCAACAGAACTCTGCTGCAAAGCAACCAACAGGAAGGCACATCGCAGGCTTCCAAATTCCAATACAGTCAACATAACACACAGAGGAGGAAGGAGAGTCTTTTGGATAGGGTGCTTAGGGACATGGTTTAGTGGGTTAGGTGGTGTGGGTTGATGGTTAGACTTGATGATCCTTGTGGTCTTTTCCAACCTTAATGATTCTATGATTCTATAGAGGAAAGAGAGAGAACAACCACCTTTTAGATACTTCATGGCTAGAAAGAGTCAGTTAAACAGGAATTTGCTAGCATATTCCCCAGCTTCAACTGGGTAACTATGCAGTGAGGGGAAAAACAAACCACAAAACACTTAAGAAAACAGACTTCCCTGTTCTGAAACTCCTGTATTTCTGGTCCTAATTACCAGACAGGAGGTGGGGGGGAGAATGGCTGCTTTAGGCTTTGCACTCAGCTCCTGAACACAAGCAGCACAACAGCATGACATATTGCAAGGATTTCCCCGCCTTCTATGGGCATGGATGCTCAGGTGTTAACACAATCTGAAAACATACATACACACAGAAATCCTTCCAGCAATTTCTTAAAGATCATAATAATCCACTGTTTCACAGGTTTTTAATAGATTGATTTAACTATTTCTGCTCATTCATTATTGAATAAAAGCCACAGTTTTTCCATCATCATCAATACAGAAAGCTGGAGACCAAGGTTAAAAACATGCAAAAAATGTGCATGTATATATTTACACACGTATACATATTTTGTATATATGTATACACACACAAACCCACACATAAATACACGTTCCGTGAAGTTTAAACTCTTGGAGCATCAGAAGAAACTGAACACTGGGTCTAAGACAGTTATGGTATGCACCAGAGATAAGAATGGATTCCCACTTGTCTAATCAGCAAGTAGTGTGAACTACATAACAAGTCAACTCAGACAAGCACTGGATGTTCACCTCTGACAAAGCAAAGTGTCCTTCCTAGTGTGCAGAATTTGATACACCTGACAAAATAAAAGCCACGAGGTGCACTAAACCCCAGCTAAATTAAGTGTAACAGAAGAGAAGAAAGAACACAGCATGAGTAGTCTTTGCCAATAAAACATTCACTTACTCCATTCAGCACTGAAAGGTGCTCAGCAGTTCTATCTTTCTGCTGGCTGCCACTGGGTGCTAATTTCATATTTACTTTATTTTAGAGACACTGCGTGCACAGCAGTGCAAAGCCAAAGAAAAAACCTGGATGAAATTCGGCAGGGCACAGGATGACAAACAGCAGGCTACATTTCTAAAAGAGTCAAGGGAAGAAAAAAAAAAAGTATGGGCACTGAAATGAACCAATCTGAAATTGTCAGTTTAATCAGCTCCTGTGGCTACAGACATTTTAAAACCACAGACTTCTATGGTTAGGCTATATAAACCCTGCTTTGCAAACCCTAGCAGATGTGGTTTGAATTGTGGCAGCTCGGGGGATGGGGGGAAGAAGACAAAAATACATAAAAGGTTCCTGGGTAAGTTGCCAGCACTTACAATAGTGATCAGTCATGTGTGTTGGTTTTATGCATGGAAAAATCTAAGAATGGTGTAGAAATGGGGCAGATTCAAGCCCTTTCTATATGTAACTCTGATTTTCGTTTTAAGGTCAACTCAATCCTAAATATCCCATTTTACACTGTTTATTTTCTGAAGTACAGAACTGTATTAACATTTCATTTCCTTATGAATGGCTGATACTGTAACAAACCCTTAGCTGAACAGAAATTTCACATTTCTTAATCTGCAAGCCACAGCTAATTAAACTTTCCCTCCACCTTACCTGTTAACTTTCTACATAGTAGCTAGCAAGAGGCTGTGTTTTGGATTTGTCTAGGATGAAAACTGGTAACAGTGATGTTTACAGTTGTTGCTAGGACAGCCCAAGGTCTTTCAGCTTCTCTGCTGTCCACAGGTGCAGAAGTTGTGAGGGAGCACAGCTCAGTTACTAGCCTGGGATTCAATCTTAGGTTTGAGATTGAGAGCCAAAGTGGCCAATGGTCTATTCCATAACATAGGCATCCTGCCCAGTATACAGATGAGGGCCCTCCAGAACTTCATCCCTTTTTGTTCCAGACCCCTTTTTGTTCTGGATCTCCTTTGCTCTGGGTCAAGCTCTCTTTCCAGAACAGCTCTCTTGGGGTGGTCCCTCTTGCCGGGCCTTCTCCCTCCCTTGGACAGCTCTGTCTGGGATGCTCAGGCTCTCATCTCCATTTCAGGACTCTCCCTGCTCCGGGATCCTTAGCCAGGGACAGGCTGAGCATTGGTCATCGGGTGGGGGGGCAGTATCACTGTGTATCACTCATTTGTATACTTGTATATAGTATTATTTTCAATATTTTTTGTAGTTTAGTTATTAAATTGCTCTTATCTCAACCCACAAGTCTTTTTCCCTTTACCCCTTTAACTCCCTCCCCCATCCCCAGGATTGAGGGGGAGGGGGGGTGTGGAATGAGAGAGCAGCTGCACGGGTTGGCTCCCAGCCAAGGGTAAACCCATCACATTAGCTCACAGCATTCAGGTTCTCACAGTTTAAGCACAGGTGCTTTTACTTCTTTGTTAACAATGCAGATTCTTCCCTTAACCCCAAACTGAACGAGTAAAGTTTTGTAATTTGGAGGACAGTGGTTTGCAGACGTTATTCATATTACAAAAATATATTTACAAAACCTTTCCTAGGGATCCATAACCACCTACTGTAAACTCAGCACAGAATCAGCATCATCACGGCAAGATCATAGCTGTAAACAAGGCAGTCACAGGGAAACAGTCTTTTTCAAAATATTTGATTTCTTAAGCATTTCACTCATTTACACAAACCTAAACTCATTTTTTTCCTCAGACTCACCATGAGAAACCTCAGCCTAGAACTGATTATGCAAAGGTTAGAAGTGGTGAAAAACACATCTTCATTACTGTGATTCTTGCAACATCTTATGCTGAGCCCACCAGCATAATACATCACAGGTGTACCACCAATTAGCTGGGTTGGCTAAAAACAAACTCCAGCATTCTCTAGGAAGAGAATGAGAAGACATAGTGCAGAAATTCAGTTAGGTGCTAAAAAAAAATAAAATAAAGATAACCCAAGGAACTTTATAAGGTTGGTATATTTGAATGGAAACATCTTCCCAATCATCATTTGACTTCTCATTTATAAATTTTACGCACAGTGTCTTTCCCCCCCCCCACAACTGCATTGTCTCAGCATGTTGCACAGGCAGCCTAGCTTAAAACGCCATTGTGAGATACAGGCATCATACTTGCAGAATTTTGTAAAAGTAAGTAGCTGCAGAGTTAGGGAAAGTGGTTTCTTCCTCAGCAGACAAGACAACAAAACTCAGTATTCCTAATCCCCACCCGCAGTCTTACGGTGACTATTTGAGCATCTACTTATTTGGACAGATTGGTTAGGAAGTTACTTCCCTCCTCCATAATGGAAGCTGCTTCCATTCTCTTCCCCATGACAGAAGCAACAAAAATAGGCAGTGCATTGATTTCTGAGGTTCCACAGAGCATTAGTCTAAACTGCTCACAATTTCAGCTTCCAGGCATAGGACACTCTGCTAGTTCTTAAATTGGACCCACGCTGCCAAGATGAAAGCAACAGCCTTCAGCAGAGTGGAAGGACAATGCCAGTCCTTAATGCCACTGCTTATGTGAATATACTGTCATTTACAGAACCTCTTTTCCCCTGCATTTACAAGAGAAAAGCAATGACTGATAATTACCTGACAAAATACACAAAAAACAAGCAACTAAACACTACCTTGCTGAAGGAATTAGGTTGAGAGCTCCATTAAGAACATAGTCAAGTTCAGCATGTTTCTCTGCTACAAGTGCCACCAACCCCTCAGAGCAGGCTGTTCGCAGGGCAACATTCTCACTGCAGCACTTCTCCCAAAGCAGGTTCAGAGCAGGAGTCTGAAATCAAAAGCACGAGACACAAGCAATGAGAAGGCTGACGCTGATTTATCTTTATTCAACTCCAACACACTTCTATATAAAAACCTGCTCAACATGTTCTCCTGAAATCTTAGAAAACACAAGAAAGGAAGCCGGGGTACAGAGTCTACACCTAAGAAAGGCCTTTCCCAGGACAGGTCCCACTTTCTTGCCCCTACTGCCTATGCCCTCAGTATAGACAGGAGTCTCTGAGAAAAGGGTAAGGCAGACAAATTTTTCAGCTGTGACTACACAGGTAAGCTAGCATCAATTTCACTTTCCTTAAAAAGACCAAGACGTCTTGGAGACAACTCATGAAATGCTAGATCAAGCCATGTCTACAGCAATATGCAGAGGAGACAGCTAGATGCAGGCATACAAAGAGCTACCAGAAGTAAGCCATCTTTACTCACCATAGAAAGTCCTCAGTTCTCTCCATTTGCTAGTAAGAAAAAGATTTGGCAGTATCCATTAAAACTGCCGCTTGCTTTCATGCTAAATTTGCATTCACAGGTTAGCTTGATGACTTTGTAGCTTCCAAATGGAGAAACAAGGAACATTTTAAACAACTCAACTCTGTAAAATGCTCTTGTAGAAAAAAGGAGCCTGTGACATAAGATCAGCACAAATCTTTTGCTCATTAGCAATTTAGAAAGTATTGCTATATTTCAGTTTAATACCTTCGTGGGGTGGCAAATGGGCAGAGTCAGCTCATAGCTCAAAACAGAATGTCATTGGGGAACATGAGTATGATCAGGACAGTTGGAGGAGCTTCTGTTAGGGAAACTACACACCTCCAGCATTTCCTCACACCAAAACTCAGCACTTTTGAGGCTTGGGTTTGCTAGCTTGGGAGGCTTTAAGACTTCACGCTGGGAAGAGAAATCCACAAATCATTTTCTGCTCATTTCTGTTCAAGTCAGCTTTTGGGAAGGAAAAACAGAGGAGCAAATCCTAACCAACACCTCTTCTTCACTGCTGTGACACTTGCAAATGCCAGCAATTCATATACCCCTCAATTAACATGACAGACCTGCACTTAAGTGAGCTTGAATCAACTAAAAGGCAAAGTACGCCTTCACAGCATGCTCTCTCTAAAAGAAATCTGAGCTCTACTTAGCTAATATGAAATATAACACCAATACAGGTATGTGAAATGCCATACTTCTTGAAATTTTTATAATGATGTAAAAGACTTGCCTACTGAAGTGACAATGTCTCACCATATGGCACTTCACTTGCAGTAACAAACTCAAATAAAACTCTCTTAAACTGAGCACAGATAGATGGTGGTACTCTGCAGAATTAAGACTTCTGCCATTAAGACTTCCAATGGAAGTAAAATGGATCTTCTGATCCCAGAGATACACTGTTTCTACTTGTACACCCAGACATATTTTGCTATCTACCTTACTTAACTTCTATGATTTAATAAAATTACACAATGGGGAATGGGAACATAGAAAAACTTAAGCACGTATGGATAGGAAAGAAGACAGAAGCAGAAGAATGCCACAAACCTGGTCAGATGCTTGTCTGATCTTCTCTGAAGAAGCATTTTCTTTCAGTACTGCAGCAATCAGATGACTCACTGCCTAAAAGAGGAAAACGAAGTTAAAAATACATGCTGATCAAGAGTTGTTTTTCAATTCTCCATTAGGAAGAATTTACACTGCTGTTGCATATGACCATTTTATCACGATTTAAAACACCAAACACGGGTATGGAAGCTGAAATATGGTTTAGGGCCAAAAATCTCTATAATGCTGGCATACTACTTTTAACTGTCACCCTGAGACAGAAGAGAAACAAAGCTTCCATAGGGCTTCATAGAGTCTTTATACAGAACCTCCTATAAAACTAGAATCAGGTATCTACTCAGGAATTGCAGATATTTTAATGCATTAATTGTAATAGACATCCACAGCTCCACTGCTGTAAAGATCTCAGTGTACTTAACAACACTGTTAATTATTAAATCCCTTCCTATATAGGGCAGTGGAAGCAAGAGAAGAAGTGGAGCACAGCAAATCTAAGAAACTTGCCCAAATTTTTGCATCCTAAGTTTTGCTAAATGCTGATGACAAACACACTATCAAACCTCCAAGCACTTCACGTAAACACTAGTATATCTACTGCCAGAAATGTTTCATTTACTTTAAACAAGGCATTTAAAGTTAACAGTATTCCTCATAAGGCTATTCTGTGGTAGAGATAATCAACAAGACTTAAATTTTCAAGGTCGTCCAAAAAAATGCTTCAGCTCTGAAGAATTACCATAATCATTGATACAGCTACACAGAAAACCCCTAATGTGGCAGGCAGAAAGATATCTTTTCACAGTAAGGGTACAAAAACGATTCAGATTATCAGTGCACCCAGAACAGCAACTGCATCTACTCTTTTATGGTCAGGACAGATGCTTACTTTTGGAAAAAGTAAACTAGGAAGCCAGCAAGAAAAATAACAATGGTAACATTTTGGTTTTGTTGGTGTATAAAAAGACAGGAAGAGATTATGTTAAATGTTTTTAGGTTTCTTCTCCTTTCAGGATTTACTTACACTTTATTTAGATATTAGTTGCTAGCCTAACACGACGATCACTAGCACTCTGAGACAATAGTTCACACTGCCAGGAAAGCTGACACTTTAAACCTTCCTAGACTACAACGATTACGCCTTTCAAACGTTTGGATACATACTCTAATACATTTGACTTAAAAAGACAGCTTATTATTTGGGAATCTTACTTTTGTGAAAACAGAGGGACAAGCAGTGGAACAAATTATATCTGTTTCTCTGCAGCTACCCCATTGCAAGAGCAATAACATGCCCCCCAAGCAGATTAGATCTTTTTTAGCGCACTAAGTGAATCTTCTTTTACTTTTCCTTTTTCCTACTTATAAGTAACTTCAGAAATTAATTCATATCCACATCCTTGAAACACTTTCATTATATTGGAAAAGGGGCTTATCAACAGAAAGTGGCTTTTGTAGCGACCTATACAGAAAGGTCAAAACGTAGATTAGCCCACTGCATTCCAATAAGTTGATTCATCAGTAAAACTTTTAGACCTACAAAACTACGCTCAAGGTCTCACTTCGCTGATCCTTGTCTGTGTAGGTTACACGCTGTGCAGAGGTAATGTCTTGGTTGATCCCAGAAAAAGAAGACATCTGTCACAAAGTTGAATCCTAGCCTGATGATAGTTTGAAGATTACAGCATGCTTTTCAGGGATCACAGAACCTAAGTGGAAACTAGCAAAACAAACAAAGCACAGCACAAAATCAACCAAAGCACACTAGTAGTCCTTAATGTGTGCTGTTGTGGTGATAAGCAAAGACATTTCAGCAATACTTGTACCACGGGGACATTCTTTTTCACTGAAGAACAATGAACTGGTTCAAAACTGCCAAGTCCTACTCATCAAGGCTAGTAATGAATGAACTCCCTCTGCAGTTATAAGACACTTCACCAGACCTTAGAAAAACTCTAACTTTCAAGACATCACTTCCTCTCCTAAATGCCGAGCTAATCACAAGGACTTGTGTGTCCGTGTGTCTCTGTTTCACAGAGGTGCTATGCTGGACCTTGTTCTCACCAACAAGGAAGGGCTGGTGGGGAATGTAGAACTTAAGGGCAGCCTGGGATGCAGCGACCATGAGACGGTGGAGTTCAAGGTCCTCACAGCAGTGAGGAGGGCGCACAGCAAACTCACTACCCTGGACTTTAGGAGAGAGGACTTTGGCCTCTTCAGGGACCTGCTTGGAAGAGTCCTGTGGGATAAAGCCCTGGAGGGAAGAGAGGCCCAAGAAAGCTGGCTAATATTCAAGGATCACTTCCTCCAGGCTCAGGGGCGATGCATCCCAACAAAGAGGAAGGCAGGCAAAAATGCCAGGAGGCCTGCATGGATGAACAAGGAACTCCTGAGCAAACTCAAACAAAAAAAGGAAGCATACAGAGGGTGGAAGCAAGGACAGGTAGCCTGGGGACAATACAGAGACACTGTCCATGAAGCCAGAAATCAGGTTAGGAAAGCTAAAGCCCAAACAGAATTAAATATGGCCAAGGATGTTAAGGGTAACAATAAAAACTTCTATAGGTATGTAAGCGATAAAAGGAGGACTAGGGAAAACATGGGCCCCCTCCAGAAGAAAGTGGGAGACCTAGTGACCCAGGATATAGAGAAGGCTGAGGTACTTAATGAGTACGTTAACTCAGCCTTCACTGGCAAGAGCTCATGCCACACTGCCCAAGTTGCAGAATGCAAA